CTCCTTGATCAGGCCGTCCAGGTAGTCCTCCGGGATCGGGTCGCTGTTGTCGACCTGGTCGGCCAGAGATGCGAGACATGTTGAACCCCAAACCCTAAACCCTAAACCCCCTATATTAATCATCCATATATACGGCCGTGTGCCTCAGCAGCAGTGGCCCCAGTCTTCGGAGACGTGGGCTCACGGAAATCCGTTGCCTGCATATATATATATATGTATATATATATATATATAAGCTTAATATACAAACGATGAATATAACTGTATATATAGATATACAGACACATACACACGATATGTATATACAGTACTTGACACCCGCCTTGCCCCTGCGGAGGGAATCCGGCACCGTTGCCTGCACGTGTTCTCGGTCCGTTGAATTTATAGTATATATGTATATATATATATATATATATATATTACATGTTGTCGTGTATCTAACCGAGGGCAACGACCTATCTCATGAATAAGACCAGGTGTCTTGTCATATTCACTCTAGAAGGAAACAAGTATATGTAACATGTGTCACGGTACTACAATTGTTAGTCCATGTATATTTTCAGAATTATACATCTAGGTGTATTATATATATATATATATGTATAGATATGTTATATATATATATATATATATTATATATATAGATGAATATCGGCATATAAATATATACATATATAAGAAAGAAAGTTCATATCTATGTATATTTGTATCTTTGATATAATCTCTCTCATGTGCCTTTGCAGCCTCTTGTCTGGCTTCGGCCATGCTTGCAACCCGCTGCAGCGAGGCATCTACGTCCATGATCGCAGGCACCGGGATCGTCACCTGCAGTTTTGGTGTGAAGTATTGTACTTTATTTATAATTTATAAAGCAAATAGATTTTTGAGGTGTACGTTTGCATATAAACATATATATACAAACACATGTATTTATATATATATATATATATATATGAACCTATAGACATATGTAGCTAGACATATATATCTCTTTATACACACAAAGATACACATATACATATATATATATGTGGATCACACACAGACTGACACAACCTGGGTTTCGGACTGCTGTGGCTCCGCCGCCACCTGCTGCCTTGTCAGGTTCCGGCTCCTGCAAATTGGGTTTGTGGCCATGGACATGGAACCTGTTTACACTGGCTGGGTAACTATCACACATGTCTTTATGTGTTTGTGGTTTGAGCAGTATATTATTGTTGGATATCTATACATATATATGCATTATCTATATATCTATATCTATATATATATAAAGTATACACATATAAATATATATGAGCTCCAGGTCCAGGCCAATGGGGAACACGTGGATGCAGTCCTCCACCTGTGTGCTCGTCAGTGTGTCCGGCACGTCCAGTTCCATGGGGTAGGGCAGGGTCTCCGGCTGTCGATCCTCCTCGACTCCCTGCAGGGTCTTATGCATCCATTGGCTATTTCTGTGCATGCGTATCATCTAGCCAGGTTTGCACTCCCATCGGAAGTTCCTCCAACATGACTTTTTCCAGCTCCTTGTTCAGATCAGAGGACTTGTCGCCTGGACCGAGACTGAAAACAGCTATGTATTGACAGAAGAAGCTACAATGCACCACATGCCGGAAGTCTGCATCTCAAAGAGATTCATATATACATATATATAACATATGCAAGGATACGTACAAATGTATTTCTGTTTGGATTTATATGTATACATACATACAATATATGTCCATCATATATAGGTACTGATATACATATTATAATCATAAACCCTAATTAATGTAGTTACTGTGCATGAGAGGAAATTTAACTATTGTATCTTCTGTTCAAGCCATAGGCATGATAATGTCTATGTGTATATTATGATATGTAGATTTTTGCATATATATATATAAATAGACATAGGTGTGTGTACAATATCTATATATATATATATATCACACAAACATACATATATATATATGCATATATATATATATATATACATATATATATATATATATATCTTGTGATCTGCTTTTCACAATCCATGCCTGACATCACCGTGTCGGCACTGTCCAGCCGGTGTGGCTTGTCTTCCTTTTTCTTCTTAGGGTCCGGAGTCTTCGTTGGGTCTTCGTGGGGGTCGCAGACACGGCCACGGTCTTCTTCGGCGGGCGGGATCTCTTCCGGGTCTCGGCCGACTGGGCCGGCTTGGCCGACTCGACCGACTTGGTCGGCTGGGACGACGAAGTAGCCTCGGATTGTTAGCAAGGTCTGGTCGACATATATATATATATATATGTACATGCTTATACATGTGTCTATATGTATAATATATATATATATATATATATATATATGTAATTATATACACTACATTGTACTTAACTTCCTGTTATATCATAGCTTACTGTATATAGAAGATATGGTACATGACATTACATCATCTCGTGTAATTGTAACTAGTTATATGTTCTTTGTAAATATTAAGACAGGCTATATATATATATATATATATACCTATGTATTCGTACTAATAACAAAACATGCAAGCTTGGCACAGATTCCTGGCCACTCTTGGCAGCTTTCGCTGCTTTGGCAGCAGCTGCCGTGGCCATCAAAGACTCGGGGATAACGGACTTCTTGCCCATCGCGGGAAAAAAGGGCCAGGCTTAGGACTGGAAGTCGCTCGGCCCACAAAAGATCTCAATTGCAGCACGTGCCATTTCACGCAATTTCACGCCGATTCACGCGGTTTCACGCCCTACTTTGCGAGGCCTCAAATTCCAGGGCCCTGAGATTCCGAGGCCTTGGATCCTGAGGCCTCGGCCGGGAGGCGATTCACGCCAATT